CAGTGGGTGTGGTTTGGGCTTTGCTTCTGTGAAGACTGACAGCCTTGGAAACCCTGGGGGGCAGTTCCACTCCGTCCTCTAGGGGCGCTGTGAGTCGGAATCCACTTGATGGCAGCAGGTTTCATTTTGGTTTTGGTTTTAGAGTGAGAGGTGTACACACAGAACGTTTTCTATAGTGAGCTGAGATCTTAGTGTGTCTCACTTCCACAGCAACCTGGATCTGCAAATGGGGAACTGAGGCTGGGGACGGGGTGACTGGGCAGATCTGTCTGTGGAGGTGGCTTTACCGTGGAAGGGTGTGGTAAGCCCCAGTCACTTGGCGCTCACCTCGGGACTGTACATCTTTAGACGGGAGTTTTCCATCCTAGGGGGTCAAAGACATGAGGGGAGAGCCCTGAGATGGAGCTCCCCCTTGCTCAAGGTGGGAACTGGCTAAAAGTCCAAGGTCAAAGCTAAAATGCTTCGGTGGTGAGCTGGGCGGTGCAGGCGGAGCTGTGTTCTCCACAGAGACTGAGCAAGGGCCGTGGAGGCAGCCTTCTGACTCAGTGTGAAGTTCTTCATTTCTAGTTCCACAAATACGCCACAGTAACAAGTTCTCTTTCCTGTTTTACAGGGGAGTTGTGTCCATGGTCATTTTGAAAATGACCGAAACCCAAGCTGGAGAATACCTGCTTTTTATTCAGAGTGAAGCGACCAATTACACAATCTTGTTTACAGTGAGTATAAGAAGTAAGTCCAGCTTGTTACGAAGTTTCTGCCGTATTCTGAGGAGCGGGCCGAGGGCCGTTGGTTTTTGCCAGTGGCTCCAGACACAGCCTCTGTCCCTCACTGCCCTCACTCCGACTGGCACTGCCCAGTAAAACTTCCTGAGGGCTCAGTGGAACCCAGCCTCTCTGAGCCACAGAGGTTGGGTGAGTCACCAAAACTATTGCCTTGACATAATCTTTAAAACCTTCAACCTTCAACCAAAACTGTCTCCTGAAGTCTTCTTTGAACCAAAAAACTAGCTTCATTTAATTGGTAAAAACATCTGCTTTGAGCTTTCTGCTGTTTTGAAGAATGATCTCTGTGAGATCCAATTGACAGCAGCGACTTGAAAGGTTAGATGACAGCCTTACGGGGCAGTGAGTTGAAGACAGTGGTGGTGGAAGCATGTGGAAGGGGACAGTGAGAATGAGTGGTGGCCCCACTGGGAGCACATAGCCATTGTCACTGAGTTGTGTACAATACACTGGATTGTAGAATATACACTGGGTTGTATAGTATGCACTGAGTTATACAGTGTAGTATACACTGAGTTGTATAGTATACACTGGGTTGTATAGTATACACTGGGTTGTATAGTATACACTGAGTTATACAGTATAGTATACACTGGGTTGTATAATATACACTGAGTTATAGAGTATAGTATACACTGGGTTGTATAGTATACACTGAGTTATACAGTATAGTATACACTGGGTTGTATAGTATACACTGAGTTGTATAGTATACACTGAGTTACACAGTATAGTATACACTGGGTTGTATAGTATATGCTGAGTTGTATAGTATACACTGGGTTGTATAGTATACACTGAGTTATACAGTATAGTATACACTGAGCTGTATAGTATACACTGAATTGTATAGTATACACTGGGTTGTATAGTATACACTGAGTTATACAGTGTAGTATACACTGAGCTGTATAGTATACGCTGAGTTGTATAGTATACACTGGGTTGTATAGTATACACTGGGTTGTATAGAAATGATCTTTGGCTGTGTAAATTTCAGCAAAATAAAAGCAAAATTTAAAAAAACTCCATGAGGCAAGGATTATCCCCATTGTATAGATAAGGAGGCAAAATTCAGATGGAACACTCCCCCTCAAAAAAAAAAATTAACTAAAACATAATAAACCCTTTCTGACATGAGGAAACTGCCTGTGTCCATACTACGCAGCATGGTAGCCACTTGGCCACGCGGGGCAGCTCTGCTCTGTCTGTCCTGTAGGGTTGCTGGGTGGGAGTCGCCTCAGTGGTAATAGGGTAAGCCACATGCATGGAGGCCTGCTGACCCAGGGGTTAAGTGCTCAGCTGCTAACCGCAAGATCAGTGGTTCAAACCCACCAGCCCCTCTGTCGGAGGAAGATGTGGCAGTCAGCTTCCGTAAAGATGAGAGCCTTGGAAAACCCTTGGAGAAGTTCCACTCTGTCCTCTAGGGGCGCTGAGTCAGAATCGACTCCACGGCAGTGGGTGTGGTTTGGGCTTTGCTTCTGTGAAGATTGACAGCCTAGGAAACCCTGTGGGGCAGTTCCACTCTGTCCTCTAGGGGCCCTGTGAGTCAGAATGG